CCTCTGCCCCCCTAATCCGCTGCCCCCCAACCCTCTGCCCCCCAGGACCTCAAGGGCCAGTACTGGACGGACGATGACTCCGATGGGGACAATGAGTCCGAGGAGTTCCTCTATGGCGTCCAGGTAAACACCGCGCGTGCTGGGTCCCATGGGTGCCAGCTCCCATGGGTGCCATCGGGGAGCTCGGGGACCCCCAACCTGCACCCAGTCCTGCGTGTGGGGCTGCGGGGAGGCTCTGGGTCTGACGGTGCCGCGGGGTGCTGTGCCGCAGGGGACCTGCGCCGCCGACCTGTACCGTCACCCGCAGCTGGATGCCGACATCGAGGCTGTGAAGGAGATCTACAGCGAGAATGCCGTGGCCGTCAGGTGGGTGCACCCGCCAGCCCCCGCACCTGGCTGTGCCATCCCCCGGGCACCCAGACATGGCATTCCCAGGAGACCCAGCTGTGGCATCCCTGGGCACCCGGCCATGGCAACCCCAGGCACCCAGCTGTGCCGTAGCCAGGGCACCTGGCTGTGGCATCCCCAGGCACCCGTCCATGCCATCTCCGGGGCACTTGGCTGTGATATCCCCGGGCACTCGGCTGTGCCAGACCCAGGGCACCCAGCCGTGGCATCCCTGGGGCACCCAACTGTACCACCCCCGGGGCACCCAGCCACAGCATCACCAGGGCACCTGGCTGTGGCATCCCCAGAGACCCAGCCATGCCGTTCCTGCACACCCAGCTGTGCCATCCCTGTGGCACCCCGCTGTAGCATCCCTGGACACCTGGCCGTGGCATCCCTGGGGCACCCGGCTGTGCCATCCGCAGGGCACCCAGCCGTGGCATCACCAGGGCACCTGGCTGTGCCATACCCAGGCACCCGGCAGTGCCATCCCTGGGGCACCCGGCTGTGCCGTATCCAGGGCACGCAGCCGTGGCATCCCTGTGGCACCCAGCTGTGCCATCCCCAGGGCACCTGGCCATGCCATCCCTGGGCACCCGGCCGCGCCATCCCCGCCCTCCCCGGGCCCCCAGCCACAATCCGGGCGCTCTCCCCTGCCATCCCAGTCTCAGGGGTGCACACGCTTGATACACGGGGAGCCACGCGTGCCCGTCACTGCCCCATGAGCCTGCCCGCCCCAGCACGGCGGGCACCGGAGTGGTTCCGCGGCACCGTGCCAGCTTCACTTCATCCCCCCCCCCTTCCCCCCCCCCCCGCCACGGCGCCGCGTGTCTTCGCAGGGAGTACGGGACCATCGATGACGTGGACATCGACCTCCACGTGAACATCAGCTTCCTCGATGTGAGTCCCCGGCGTGCCCCTGCCGCTGTTGGCACGGGGAGGGGGGAGACACATGCGCGGGGGGGTCTCCAAATTTCCCTCCCCGGCTGGGGGTCCCCGTGGCTGTGCCACATCGTGGCTTTCCCTCGGCAGGAGGAGGTGGCGACAGCGTGGAAGGTGCTGCGGACGGAGCCCATCGTCCTCCGCCTGCGCTTCTCCCTCTCCCAGTACCTCGATGGCCCCGGTGAGTGGGGATGGGCAGGACACAGTGTCCCCACGTGCCCTTGGAATGGGGACGGCGGTGGCACCGATGGCTTGTCCTCCTCTCTCTCTCCGCAGAACCGTCCATCGAGGTTTTCCAGCCATCCAACAAGGAGGGCTTCGGGCTGGGTCTGCAGCTGAAGAAGTAAGAGCCGAAACGCAATGGGCACCCAAGGGTGGTGGGTGGGCCACGGGGTCACCATTTTGCCCCCAAACTGGCCAGGTGCCACATGTCCCCACGCCACCACCTTTTACCTGCCCCACAGCCCCTTGACAGCCTCACCACCAGTTTTGGGTGGGGAAGAGGAGGAGCTGGGTGGCATGGACCACCCATGTGCCAAGCTCAGTGGGCACCAAAGCACCCATGGGTGCTGGCACCCCGCTCGGGCACCCATGCCACCTCTCTGCCAGGATCCTGGGCATGTTCACGTCCCAGCAATGGAAACATCTCAGCAACGATTTCCTGAAGACCCAGCAGGAGAAGCGGCACAGTTGGTTCAAGACGAGCGGCACCATCAAGAAGTTTCGTGCTGGCCTCAGCATCTTCTCCCCCATCCCCAAGTAAGACCCCGACGGTGTCCCCAAGGGACCAACCCTCTGTCCCCTCACCCTGGATGGCTGGGGACCTGGCACCATGCCTCAGTTTCCCCACTCGCCCCTCGGACGCTGCTGCTCCCTACCAGAGCCCAAGGAGGTGAAGGTTGCTCCCAAAAAACAGCCGAAGGCTGAATTTGGCGCCGGGTGACAGAGGAGTAGGGGACGGTGACAAACTGGGGAGCTCAGCGGGACTCTGTGCCCGCAGGTCTCCCAGCTTCCCCGTCATCCAAGATTCGGTGCTGAAGGGCAAACTGGGCATCCCCGAGGCTCGCGTCAACCGCCTGATGAACCGCTCTGTCTCCTGTACGGTGAAGACCCCCAAGGTGGAGGTTTTCGGCTACCCCCCGCCCAGCACCCAGGCAGGTGTCGCCCCCTTCAACATCCTGGTGGGTGCCTCCCCGCCTCGGGGTTTGCTTTCCTCTCCTTTCCCTTCCTGGATTCCCGGGGGCTGCTGTGGGGTCGGATCGCTTGTTGCGGGGTGGTGGGACCCCCTCAGGTTGGGGGGAGCCCCTGTGGGGCTTTGTCCCCTGCGCCTTGTCCCCAGCACCCCTGGGG